TATTACATAAATCCAGTCCTATCTGCTGACAAACTTATTTAAACAACTGTTAAACGGTAAATCATTTTATGACTCTTCTTGCTCTTTTTCATTCAGACCTGCAGCAAGATGTCGGTGCCAGTGGTTTTATTTTTCTGTCTGACACCAGCGGCTACTGAAGGTACCACATTTTCATTAATAGATCCCTGATTATTGCGAGTGGGATTTTTCCTCATCCCCCTTTCTTTTTTTTCTTTTTTTTGCAGTGGGTCTTGGTGGTAAAGTGCTTGTTTCCAACTGAGACTGATACCAGCTATGTTAAACTCATTCCTGAAAAGCCACTGCATCTTACAGCATTTACTTTCTGCATGCGAGTTGCGACGGAGCTCCAGGGCGAGACGGAGATCATTCTGTTCACCTACCGCACGGTTAATGACGATGAGCTGAACCTGTGGAGAGAGTCTGACGGCCGTTTGTCCTTGTATATTAGATCTAGTGACGATGCAGCATTTTTCCGTCTGCCTCCTCTCTCCACCTTCCAGACACACCTGTGCGTCTCCTGGGACGCTGCAACTGGTCTTACTGCTTTCTGGGTGGATGGACGTCGCAGTTTGTTCCAGGTGTATAGAAAAGGTCACTCAATTCGTCCTGGTGGCATTGGCCTGCTCGGCCAAGACGCTGATGCATTTGTGGGTGGCTTTGACGCAGGTCAAAGCTTTGTAGGAGAAATTACAGATGTGCACATGTGGGATTATGCTCTCTCCAGCAGTCAGATTAAGGCGGTTTATTCAAACCAGGAAACATATGTCAAGGGAAACGTGTTTGACTTGAACACCATCAAATATGAGATAATTGGTCATGTGCAAGTGACTCAAGATAACTGATTGTAATCAGTTGTAATGTCACATACGCAGTGTACAAAGCTGTAAAAGCTAACCAATAAATAATTTTTCTGAACATTACAAGTGCAATGCATGTGCATAATTTGGAAAAATATTAAATGTTAAACATTTTTACTGAAGCATACATGCATGTGACTTCTGGAGGATGTGGTCAATAATTCTGATAATTTGATAAATATTTTGTCTAATTAATGCTGCCTTCACGGAAACTTCCTACTTCCCACTTCTGAAGTTGTAATTATGAGTTTGTCATGTTCAAGTGCTTTGCTGTTGGAAAGAACAGAAATCATGGTGAACAGCCTATTCATTCTTGCCTGTTTCTTGGGGCAATCTTATTAAAGCTAAAAGGTATAGATTAGAAGATATTTAGTCAATATCCAACAGGTTTTGAATAAAATGTAGCGTCCCATTCATTGGTAACCATATAAACATTTTTAAATTTCGGTCAAATAAATGCTATTTTCGATGTGTTCAATACATATGCATCAAATGGTTATTTATATACATAAATACACATGACTGTAATGGTGCTATTGGTCTGAATGACAACACGGATGTCTGATTTGTGCACTCTCTCGTTTTGAGTTGCCATTGTGTTTGTGTTTGTCTTTTGAGAGAGTGAAGGATGACGGCAGTGTGACAGGGCAGATAATCAGGAAGAGCTAATCCGCATCTCTTGGGCAGTTGAGGGCGTTCTGGATTCTTGTGTGGTGTTTGGAGTCTCTTTGAGCGCTGTCAGCAACACACACACACACACACACACACACACTGTCCTCCACTAACCTCCTCTCTGCCTCTTTTCTCCTCTGCATCGCTCTCTTGCTCATCCTGTCTGAGTTTCTAAATGCCCTCAGTGCTCTGTGACTGTGCTTCACACATACACGAGGATGCACTGCAGACTCTTTTGTTTGTTTTATATTAAAGTAATAGTAACGTCTAAACTAGAGATGGAATCGGCCGATTTTCCTCATGATCAGCCCGGATCGGTGATCGGTCGGTCAGTCTCACTTCTTTCCAATTCCGAGCCGATCCGTTTTGTTACCAGCAGCACAGGCAATAACGTCAACCGCGCATTCTCTCTCTCTTCTCTCAGATGACCCCTTCTCTCTCACACACGTCTCATTCGCTCCGGTTAAATAGTGCTTGTATTGCGCATTATTTTAGTCATTCCCTCAGGTTTCGCGCTTACACCAAAAGCGCGCACCACCACTGATCTATATTAGTGGAGTGCACAAGCCGCGCTCAGTCTCAAACAGCTTATGAGCCACAAATACCAAAATTAGTGGCTAACTGCACTAAAACGGTCAAATACATACAAAATTATGTCAAAATGCCCGTCTTGGCGAGTATCCAGTCATACGCAGTGTACAAAGCTGTAAAAGCTAACCAATAAATAATTTTTCTGAACATTACAAGTGCAATGCATGTGCATAATTTGGAAAAATATTAAATGTTAAACATTTTTACTGAAGCATACATGCATGTGACTTCTGGAGGATGTGGTCAATAATTCTGATAATTTGATAAATATTTTGTCTAATTAATGCTGCCTTCACGGAAACTTCCTACTTCCCACTTCTGAAGTTGTAATTATGAGTTTGTCATGTTCAAGTGCTTTGCTGTTGGAAAGAACAGAAATCATGGTGAACAGCCTATTCATTCTTGCCTGTTTCTTGGGGCAATCTTATTAAAGCTAAAAGGTATAGATTAGAAGATATTTAGTCAATATCCAACAGGTTTTGGATAAAATGTAGCGTCCCATTTATTGGTAACCATATAAACATTCACAGAGCTATCTAGCGCTAACTAGATGACAATTCCTAAATTTTGGTCAAATAGATGCTATTTTTTACTGTGTTCAATACATACATTATGCATCAAATGGTTATTTATATACGTAAATATACATGACTGTAATGGCAGGAGAAAGCAATGTAGATGTTGTGAGAAAAACGAATAAAACTTCACAGTACTACTGCTACGTTTCTCTCCTCCGCATATTTAAAGTGTATGGCTCGCCCAACTTGGAACCACGGGTATCAAAATTATCTTAAAATAAAAGAATAAAATAATTATCTTAAAATAAAATAATCAACTCGGAACCACAGGTATCTTATAGTTTCCCAGTTGTAAATACGACTAGAGAGGCCATTAATTTCCAATTTCTGACGAGGAAACTCATATTTACGATAATTCTGATAGCACGTGAAGGCTGCATTAATGTCAAGCCACTACAGCTAGTTCAGAACAGCAGCACAGACCTTAAAGCAATAAAGGCACATATCGTTCATTTGAAAAGATACAATATATAGATACACTCATCAGCCACGACATGAAAACCACCAGCCTAATATCATGTAGGTCCACCTCTTTCTGCCAAAAGAGCTCCATGAGACCTCTTTACGTGTCCTGTGGTATCTGGCACCAAGACAATAGCAGCAGAAGTTTTGCAAGAAGCAAGGTGGGGCCTCTATGATTCAAATTTGTCAGTCCAGCACATCCCATAAATGCTTAATTGGATTGGGATCTGGGGAATTTGGAGGCCAAATTGAGCTTTTTGTAAACCCACTCGCCTTGCCATTACTATTTGGCCCTTGTCAAAGTCACCCAGATCTACTCGCTTGCCCATTTTTGCTGCTTTCCAGCAAATTAAATTCAAGAACTAACTGTTTACCTGCTGCCTTGACATGTGCTATTTTAACAATATAATGTTATTCACTTCACCTGTCAGTAGTTTTAATACTGTGGCTGTTGTGGTTTCTTTCCTCAATTCTCGGGACCTCAGAAAACCTATCACTTCTACTGATGTCGCTGTTGTTAAGATCATTTTTAGATGATTTACAAGGGAAATTTGTCTGATACGCTGCTGCTGTCTGGTGGTCACACGCGGGCAGTTCAGTTATGAGTAACAACAAATATATTCTCATTGCTTAAAGGGGTCATATGATGCTGCTAAAAAGAACATTATTTTGTGTATTTGGTGTAATTAAATGTGTTTATGCGGTTTAAGGTTCAAAAAACACATTATTTTCCACATACTGTACATTATTGTTTCTCCTCTATGCCCCGCCTTTCTGAAACGCGTCGATTTTTACAAAGCTCATCGGTCTGAAAAGCAAGGTTTGCTGTGATTGGCCAGCTATCCAGTGCATTGTGATTGGCCGAATACCTCAAGCGTGTGACGGAAATGTTACGATGTTACGCCCCTTACCATACTGTGATGCATGTCCCGGAGCGACGAGACAAAAACATGAAAATCCATTATAAACGAGGCATTTGTTAATAATAACATAATTACGGATTATAATGACTTGTACTGTCTTTTTACGCGTTGCATCGCGCCGCCTAAACTATTCACGAACAGCTTGTAAGACTCCAAAGAGAAAGGAAAACTTGAAATGGCATCATATGACCCCTTTAAATACAGATTAAGTGTTATGTCTGCATTTATATAAAGTTCCAGCAATATGTTCAAACATCTATATCAGACTTTTAAGCCACACATTTATGCAAAACAAGATGATATGGAAAACTTTAAATTCCCAGAACCTTTACTCAAACATTCTAAAAGTATTATTATACTGTTATTCAACCACGATTTCATGAAATCATATGACACACATTGACAGCTTCTGTGATCTCAACTCAAATAACATTAAAAAGAGTATTTCTGTATTGTACAAAAGGCAAAATGTTATGTAAAAAAAAAAGGTTATGTCTTTATAGTGCCATTTTATAAATTCAACTCTGTCTATTTGTATTTGACAGAGCGAGAAATCCAGAGGAAGAGACATTTGAAAACATCTTTCCCCCAGTTTCACAGACCAGGCTTAAGCCTAGTCCTAGACTAAAATGTAAGTCTGAGCTGTTTCAAATGAAAGAAACTTGCACTGACTGATCTTAAATAATATCAGTGCCTTTGTTTTGTCTCAAGATGCACACCAGTAATGTTTTTTTTCTAAGGCACGTTTATAAAAATTACTTAAATGTCCTAATTGAACTATGGCCTAATCCTGGCTTAGTCTAAGCCCTGTCTATGAAACCAGGCCTTTGTGTTTTTGGCCTCATGATCGTGTGAATCCTCACACAGCATCTTTTGTTGGTTTAGCTGATGTCATCATGGTGCAAGGAGGGAAGCGGCTCAGCAGCGTTTCTTTCCTCAGAAGCAGAAATAAACACCCTTCTGCTACGCAGTAAGTATTACATTTGTCACAATTTCATTTATATAATCACTGAAAAACTGAAACAATCATTTGAAATGTAATGCTTTGTGATACTAAATGTTATGATGTAATATTAATAATAATGCATCTCCATTATTATATTGCACACTAGTGTTATTTTAGTATCATTGAGATGCTAGTATTGTTTTACTTAATATGTTGAATTAGTTATTATTTTTAGTTACGGTTTTCATTTTTAGTTAATGTTTTGGTAATTGTGTTTTTATTTCAGTTTTAGTTATGTAGTACCATTTCAATATGTTAATAATTGTTGTCTTGGCAACTAGATGAAATTAAAATATATATATACAAAAAAAAAAACTTCAGCTGATTTTATTTGTTTATTTTTTATCAGTTTTAGTTTTAGCTAACTACAATAATGTTGTGGCACACATATCCTGACTGGGATGACGCTCATGAAGAAATACTATTTTCACCAGAAAATTCTTTATATAAAAATGCATTACATTATTATTATCATTATTTATTTATAATTATTAGGACAATTTTTACATTTACTCTGATGCAAAAAAATAGATAAATAAAATCCCTCAAAAACTTTTCCCTATTTAAAACCAGTATAAATCATGCATAATAAAACTAACAAATGTATCATCATAGCCTACTAAAACAATATTCACTTTAAAGTCATTTTTGTGGATAATATGTTTGTCATGAAAATGTTGCAATGCAAAAACCCTAATGGTCTTAATATGTTTATGTATGTATTTATTTATCTTATTTTCTGGATGAATTGTGGTTGTCTTGACAACTGTGATTCACCAACAGAAGCTTGCCATTTTTAGAAAGTGCTCATTTACAGGAAAATGGAGATAAGGCATTAATATGTCAAACTAAGACAACAATTTTAATCTTCTTAATTGTTGTATTATTATTCTTTTTTCTTTCAGACCTGCAGCATGATGTTGGTGCCAGTGGTTTTATTCTTCGGTCTGCTCTCTCTGAACCCAGCAGCTACTGAAGGTACTGTATGTTAGATTCATGCAGCAGGAGTTTGAGCTGGTTTTGTGTTTGTTACAGTATTTTGTTTGGTCTTGCAGTGGGTCTCGGTGGTAAAGTGCTTCTGTTCCCGTACGAGACTGATTTCAGCTACGTTCAGCTCACACCTAAGAAGCCACTGGGCCTTACAGCGTTCACGCTCTGCATGCGCGTCGCGACGGAGCTCCAGGGCGAGCGTCAGATCATTCTGTTCGCCTACCGGACGCCTGACTTCGACGAGCTCAACGTGTGGAGAGAGAGAGACGGCCGCGTGTCCTTCTACCTCAGTGGCGACGGAGCGTTTTTCCACCTGCCGCCTCTCTCCACCTTCCGGACTCACCTGTGCCTCACCTGGGCCTCGCGCACCGGACTCACGGCCTTCTGGGTGGACGGACGCCGCAGCGCGCTTCAGCTGTATAAACCGGGTCACAGCATCCATCCGCAGGGCACCGCTCTGCTCGGACAGGACCCCGACAAACACCTGGGCGACTTTGAGGCGGTGCAGAGCTTCGCCGGCGAGCTCACGGACCTGAACATGTGGGACCACGCCCTCACGGGAAACCAGATCAAAGCGCTGTATTTGAACCACGCGCAGCGTGTGCCGAGAGGAAACGTGTTCGACTGGAGAACCATCGAATATGAGATTAAAGGAAACGTGCTGGTCGTGCAAGATGATTGAGATATCCAGGCACATACAACTGCATATGCACATTTGCTATCGTTTTGTGTATTTATAGAATATTCTGTTTAATTGGAAATGCGCCAACAATGTAAGTAAGCATGCTAATATTTCAGCATCACAAAGTAGTCTGAGCATACTTTTTATTTCATCATAAACTTTGGATAATAACGGGTAAATCGATGACTGATAAATGTTATTTAAAAGTGTAATAATAGACTGATCAATCATAACCCAAATATTAAGCCAAAAGGATTCATTTTAGGCGTACTGTATTTATATGTCAGCTTTACCTGCTCAGAAAATTGACACTTGCTCGGTCTTATCAGTCGAATTGACTAAAGCATCTGCTAAGAACTTTAAATGTAGATGGAACAATTTGTCTGTACTTAAAAACGATGTAATAAAAAATGATTTGTTCATGTGAGTTTCTGCTGCACTTCCTCCATATGGCCACGAGAGAGCAGCACCACACCAGTTCTGAATTACATGCGACTCATTCAAAAATATATTTTCTTTGAATGTGCAAGACTTCTGATTTATTAGGTAAATAATGAAGTAGCTATAACAAAGTGTAGTAAATGGTAAAACGATTTGCGCAACAAGCCAGTGTGCCAGTTTATGACTGTTAATGAATTGAAATTATATAGTAACAAATATATAAATAAAAACAAATATAAGTATCAAGCAGGATAACAGGCTATTTTTGCACAGGTAAAATAACTGGAAGCCAATGGCAAGCCTCACACATTCAAATTACAAGTACTTATTGGGGGATTTTGTACTTGTACATTTAGGGTTTTCTTATTTCCTATAACTATAAACAGCATAAAACATATGAGAAAACAGCATAAGCATAATGTATGATATACAACCAAATCCTCACACTGTGTCAGAAATATGTGAATAAACACTCAAAATGCAGTAACAAATTAATCTAGGTTTCTATATGATTAATCCGTAACTAAAATACTGTGACTTATTTTACAGTTGGGAAAAAACATGTTTGTCTGTACATTTTGAATTATGAGAACTTTTATAATGTCAGTATTTAATATGCAGGACACAAAGGAGCAAAACTGATAACAGCCTTTGTTCATTGAAAGTCACATCATGAAGTTTAAAAACAGCTGCCTGACTCTGAGGCATCCCTGAGATTTGTTTTATTTTGTATGTCTGTCGCCAGGGTTTAAATAATGATATGCTGGAACATGATTGGTGAGATGTTACCAAGATGTGATTTCCATTCATGACACATTAGCTACACAAATTGGATGAATTTAAATTTCACATTTTGACAGTCGTTCCAATGCCATTTATTAATATGTCATATTAACATCTCAGCCTTTACTCTGTGTTTTCAAGATTTTGTCAGCATTTTTGTTCAATGAAGTTAAACAGGCCTGTAAATATGAGAAGCTTTTTGCTGCACACTAGATGGCATCATAGAGATGCACTTTAAGAAAAAGTTCTCAAGACTGATCTCAAATATTTTTTGTCTTGCCTTCTCAAAACGCTAATGTAAGTTATACTGAGTACTTTTTTTCTAAATGACCTAAAAAAAAAGCTGTCCAGTGACAGCGCCACGTTAATCTGTGCTATTGGCTTTATTTTTAATGTAAACTGAATATATGTAAGACTTCCGTTGACATATACGCATCGCTTTTTTCCGGCCGAAATATATTTTAAATAAATGCTAAATATATGTTGTAAACAGTGAAGCTGAATGAAATATATTTTTGGAAATTTAAAATATATTTAGTTTCAGCCTTCATATGCCAATTATTTTTTTCAGGGACAATATAAATATATATATTTAGGGACAAGAAAATACATATCCAATCTTACATAACCTACATTTAGGCTTTATTCATGATTTATTATTATTCAAATGTGTTATATGTTCACATAGACAACAAATAAAGTTTTTCTTTAAATGGGACATATGTTAACATATTTTGTTGGATTGAAATATATGGAGGGCAAAATATATTTTTAAATGCATTTAAAAAAGGCCAAAAATGTATTGGTAGGAAATATATTTCTATAAAATATTTTGAAACATATTGTAGAAAATATATTTTTGCCCTTTTTTGTATATTTTGATATATATATTTAAAAATATATTTGATTTTTGCCATATCAATCGGATATCTTTTCCACATTGCAAAATAAGGTGGATATCGTGGCACAAGTTAAATCACTGGGGAATACTATACACATTTTAAATAAAAAATATTCATATAAATGAGAAAAAATGTATGTTACCTGCCATGTAAAAAATGCCATTACATGCAAAATGTCATTACTTTTTCTCACGTGCAACTCACGGTTAGCTGTATGCATGAAACTGAGCACAGATGAAGAGGGTTTTCACACTGACACATCTTACCCCACTGAAGATGGCAGCTGATTCTCTGTGATGCAGCGGGGGTGTTTCTGGAAAGCTGTGAGGAGAGAGGATTCACACACGTAACATCACAACACTCTAGAGAGTGGAAGTACCTACTCATCTTCATGTCATCTTCACAGGATGTGTCATTGACTTGATTCTGTGGAATACTGCTGAATGTCCAGAGGGCTCTTTATAATAATGGGACTTGGGATGTAGAAAAATAGATATGAAGCCATACTTCTAAAATTGAATGTGAAACCAAGTTAGCAAGCAGTTTTATTTCTGTAATGTAATGTGTTTCAGAAAGACACACACACACAAAAATTAATAAAAATGGCATATTTAAAAACCAAAAATTCTAAATATTAATAAAAACTATTATCTCGATACTAAAATAACACAGCTTTACAGACAATAATTCAGCTCAATTTAATTCAGTGTTTATTTAATTCAGTTCAATAAGTGTCAATATATTGCAAAATTTATAAATTATGAAATATATTCAACTGTAAAGCAGCTCTACAGAAGTCAATAATGTCATTATTCAGATCAGATCAATGTTCATTCAATTCTGTTCAATAACTGTATCAATGTTGCAATGTTCATCAATTATAAGATAGCAAAAAAATAAAAACTGAAATATTTTATTTTCTTACCTGGATATCATGTGACCATCAACCAACATCAGAGAACTTGAACTTCAGAATGTGTTGTTAAATTATTGAAATTAAAATAACTTAAAATATCAGGAATTACATCAAAGGGGTTTGACTGACAAAAGTTTGCTTTAAAGTAGTAAAGATGAAAAATTGTGTGTATTTATAAAATATGACAAAGCTAATGAATATTCAGTTTTTCATTATTTAAATTTAAAAAGCATGCCAGAATTAAATTTTGTAACCAAGAAATATACAGTATGTATACTATTTAATATGCATTATGTAGTAAGCATATGTGTGTTCTGAGGATGAGAGACAGACAGACAGTGAGTGGGAGTGGGGGTTGTTCTGGGCATGTGTCTGCGTGTATGTGCTGGTAAAAAGTTTTCCACATGACGGACGAGAGGCGGTGTGGGGCAGGCCGCTGGGGCAGACAGCAGGAGCGTGTGTGTGTGTGGGACAGCAGGACAACATTCTGGACCCCTTCAAGCAACTCCAAATAGATTTCAAGGCAAAAGATATTTGCATAAGTAAGACAGGGCTAAAAGCCATGGTGGAGTGCGGCTCGTGTTCACTGAACAGATGGAGATCTCTCTGGGCTCTCCTGCAGAAATTACAACTTATTAGAACACCAGTCTGTCTGTGTGTGTGTGTGTGTGTGTGTGTGTGTGTATACGTGTGTGTGTGTCCTGAAAAACCCGACCACACAAGAGCTGGACCGGAGTTTAATAATAAAATTTAATTTGTTCACATTAGCTGACATGAACTAAGAATGAGTAATATGATTTTACAGCATTTTTTATCTGGTAAAGTTGCTTAATAAAAATATTATTGTTCACGGAAGTTGACAAGTGCATTACCTAATGTAATACAACTTTTGATTTTACAAAAGTATTTAAAAAATGCTGAAATTATCTAGGAGTAATTAATGCAGTAAAATGGTTAATTGTTAGTTGATGTTGATTTGTGGCAAATAAAAATGCATGACAGTATGACATATACTACTGTTCAAAAGTTGAGGTTAGTAAAGTTTTTTTTTTTATATTTTTAGTTTTAATTAAATAAGTCTTTTTTTTTGCTCACCAAGGCTGCATTTATCTAATTAAAAATATAGTAAAAACATTAATATTGTGAAATATTATTACACTTTAAAATAACTTTTTACTATTTGAATATATTGTAAAATGTAATTTATTCCTGTGATGCAAAGCTGAATTTTCAGCATCATTACTCCAGTCTTCAGTGTCACATGATCTTCAGAAATCATTCTAATATGCTGCTTTGCTGCTCAAGAAACATTTCTGATTATTATCAATGTTGAAAACAGTTGTGCTGCTTCATATTTTGCTGGAAACAGAGACACATTTTTTGATTAATAAAAAATTCAAAAGAACAGCATTTATTTTAAATTGAAATATTTTGTAATATTGTAATATTGTAAATTGTTCAACACTGAAAACAGATATGCTTCTTAATATTTTTGCATACCGTACATAAGATTTACATGATGTTCTAAGATTTCCAGGTCTGAATGTCATAGTTTTAAAGTTTACTGATATTTTCAGGTTTGCCATGACTGTGAGACACTTGAAAATTAAACAAACCATAGTAAAAAAAAAAAAAAAAAAAAGTTTGGTTTGAATGCCAATTATGATTTATTTCATAATGCTGACATAAAAATGTCCTTTCAATATATTCATATTCAAAGAAGTGTACATTTTATAATATGATTGTATAAAACTAAAAACATATAATACAATTTAAAAAATATTAATTTTATAAATATAAATAAATAAATGTAAATAATGTAATAAATAAATGTAAAAAAATGTAAATGTAAATTAAAAAAAAAAGTAAAATAAAAATGAGTCACAGGGAGGATAAAGTGGACAAAAAAAGCATCATTAAAGTAGTTCATTTAACTTCTGCACCTTTGTAAGGCACTCCTCGCTCTTGTAATTCTCATATCTCATCTGCACTTGTTCATATTCAGACCTACTGAATTGCAATGAGTTACAAACCAAACAAGAACCAGCTGTGTCTGATATCAATGAAGTCCAGCCTGACGTGTCTGAAGGTTCAAATATGCACATGTATTTTTGAGGTTTTGTGCATGAAGGTGATGCAATGATGACAACACCTTCAATTTTGTTGTGGTGAACTATTGCTTAAAAGTCATAAGAAGGGACAGCAAATAATCCAAATACTGTCAAACAAGATTAGGAAATGACGCAATCCAGATTCGATCTTACATTGTCTGCTTAATCACCACGACTCGACATATCAGAACAGAAGTGCAAAAAAAAATGTCAGAGGAACTTCACAGCAATCAGTGTTTGCAGGTGTCTGATGTCGTGCTTTACAGTACATGC